ATAATACGAGGAAATAGAGTGGGGGGGGGCTACAAAACATAACTGCAGTGTACAAACTGGCCGCGAGGCGGGATCAACGGCAGAAAAAAAGCACCAAACAACAAAAACAAAGGTTAGACTAACATTTGCATTTATGAAAAATACAGGCGATCTGCACAGTTTGCAGAGAAGCATTTCATTTCCTTAGCTTTTCAGAGCTTGGTAGATGAGTAACTATTGTATTTGTATTATTAGACAGATAAATACATATATTACAATTAATGTTATATTAATTGTAATATATGTATTTATGCTACAAAACATAACTGTTGTACAATGAAGTACAAACTGGAGATCTGCAGTATAATGATGTACAGATACAATATAACTGCAGTTCAGTAATACGAAATGCATGTGAAGATTTCAGATGCAAAAACTTCTAAGTCTGTCTAATTAAATTTATTTTATGTTCATGAGCATTTAAAAAAAAGAGCTTATGATAAGGTTCAGTAATTTCACTTTAATGGCAATGCGGTTCTTTTCATTGGCATTCAGATCTTCATGTATCCGCTTGTTAAGTGGTGACACAAGGAGCACTGTTTCCGGGTCCAAGCCTCAACTCGCTTCACTTGAGAATACTACCTCCGCAGCCGTTTATGAGCACTGTTTATTCATATTAAACATTCAAGCTAAACCTTTTCAAACTTACAGTGTGCACTACAGTCTCCAAGCTCACAGCATCCCAAACACAAATAATCTGTATATCTATTTATTTATATTTTCATTGTCTGGCTATCTGGGATTTCTGTCTGGAGTTAAAGGTTAGGATTATAATATTTTTGGTAGTATTATATCACATTGTGAGTGTATATTAGCACCTTTTGTTGATTCAGTAGTCATGTCAAAGCAGTAACTAAATCAGCATACTATCATCTAAAAAACATTGCAAGAATGAGATGTTTTGTTTCCAGTCAAGACTTGGAGAAATTTGTTCATGGCTTTATCACCAGCAGGGTGGACTATTGTAATGGTCTCCTCACCGGCCTTCCCAAGAAGACCATTAGACAGCTGCAGCTCATCCAGAACACTGCTTCCAGGATTCTGACTAGAACCAGAAAATCTGAGCATATCACACCAGTCCTCAGGTCCTTACACTGGCTTCCAGTTACATCTAGGACCCAAATACATAGCAGATATGCTCACTAAATGTAAACCTAAGAACACTCAGATCATTAGGATCGAGTCAGTTAGAAATACCAAGGGTTCACACAAAACGCAGTTGGGATTTGATGCTCGTCTTCTCTTGTAAACTGATATAAATATTCCAGCATTTATTGCTGAACTGTTGAATGTGTGATTGTTGTGGGAGGAGCTTCACTGAACATGATCAGCGGGACAGTGATGAGGAGGAGGCCGCACAGAACGCGCTCCAGAGCCGAGAACACAAGCCGCTGATGGGCGAGAGTTCAGCGGTGATTCTGCTGCTCGGGTTCGGGTTTCTGCTGTGGATTCTGGTTCTGATCTCAGTCCAGCAGCTCATCAGCAGCAGCCCGGGACACTTCAGCTCCGTCCTCGCCAGATATACTTGACCATAGTCAGGTGGGAATACCATGGCACTTTGTTTACGATGGTATTGCATAATCACCTTACTATTTACATGTCCCTTCAAGAATACGGTAATAACATGGTAATACCATATACTACACCATACAACAATGGTAAAAAAAAATCCTACAGTGTCTTTATAGCCTATTATATCACGATTGTTTATGGTTGTGATAGACCCCCAAAAACTTTTAGTAGACCCATATATGATTAACAATAAGATTTGTAATTGTCTTTGTGTGTATTTTTTTTTATTAAATTCTAAATTAAGCAAGCAGTAATAATTATATTTTTGATTCATTTTTAATGAATTATAAACAAAATAGTCAGTTGTTTACATATACTGTAGTTTCTACTGTTATTGATACCCTGGTTACTGATGTTTTTATTTTTTTATAACAGTTGTGGTTGATGAAATTTACCACAGTGTTATCATGACAA